TCTACATCTATATATATAAACTAAGAATAGACTTAAACCAATTACATTAATATTTTCCCGTCATTTTGCATTAATTGCCTTCTACATATAATATTTTTTAGACAATTCAAGATAACAAATATCAGAGCATTAATTGTGATCAGTTTATGAATCAACTGATCTAATAGTTTATTGAAGCATTTTCCGGTTTCTATGTAATCAATTAATTTAGTATTATAATAATATAAATCTGCCAAAACAAAAAGTATTATCAATTTAAAATTCCCATAAGATCCATATTTATGTGTCAAATACCTATTAATTTAACTTAACGATATCCTTATAAAATAATTAGAGAAATGATGTGTCTATGCAATTCGCAATTACCAAGTGAAGTGCATCTTGGTAAATATCGAGCTACAGTTGCCAAGTGCAAAATAATTTTGCATAGAAAAAGAAGGAGGAATTTGATAATGTATAACTTTTTCATGATGAACATTTTATGATTACCTGACAAATGCTCTACGTATTATAACTTATTGATTAATAGTCTTTAAATATAAATTTTACCAAACAAATACATCTCGTGCATCGCACGGGGTTACGTACTAGTTTATCTTAATCAAATGACAAAATATGAAAATTTATTACATAAATATTAAAGCATGTAAGTTTGTCACTTATCAAGTATGTTAGGTAAATTAAAAAACATTCTAGCTACAATTTTGTCTTTTCTCCCCAAATCGGCGACTCAGAAAAATCCTCCCCCTTTCCCCCAAATCGACGCTGCGCGAGCCTTCTCTCCGGCGGCCCCCACCCTAATCGATGTCGACCACCTTCTAATTTTTCCTGGTTCGTTGTCTGAGTTCCGGTAGCTTGTGGCTTCTCTCTTTGCGTCATGGATTTCGACCCTTCCGGTTTGCCATGGCGGGATTTCGAGAGCTGGAAGGTCCGATTCTCTTGCAGTTGCGGTAGTTGCTGGCAGCTTTGCGGCGGTTGGGGTGATGGACTAAACTTGGGCTCCCTTTTATTTGGCCTTCTCTGGTACTGGGAGTGTCGTCTTCCAACGGCGACCGGGGTGTCGCCTTGGTGTTGGAGTGCACGTGGGGGGGCCGGGTGCGGTCTGGGCCAGTCTATTTTGAGGTTGCCCGGGGAGGTTGCGCTGAGCCGTGGGTTGAGCGAAATCCTCTCCCGGTGGGTTCTCGTTAGGAGTTGGTTCGACTGGTAAAGGTGCTTGGTGTTTGGGGCCGGAGGGGAGGGCTATAGTCTAGTATGTAGGTTGCTTTGTGTGTTTTGATGTGTGAGTTTTTTTGTGTGTTTAGGTTCGTGTGTTTGTTTGTTTGTTTTGTTTGGTGTTTTTGTTTTCTTTTCTCCCGTATCGAAGTTTGCTATCTCCACTTGTGGGAGTTTTTTCGTTATGTTCTAATGCTGCTAGTTAGTTTGGGCTTGTTTAGCCTTTTAGGCTACAGTCGTCTCGACTCGTACGCCTCTTAATTTCAACCTTTGATTTTTTCCTTTTGGTCATTGGCCGCTTGTGTTTTTTCCGTGATATTATGATGTAGCGAAAGCGTGAACGAATGGGAAAAGATACAATACGAGATACTCTCTCGAACTTGGGATACTCTCCCGAAAGAACACGATTAATTTTTCATTCTCAAAATCAACTCCCCATC